GAATACTGCTTCATTTTTCCCACGTTACACTGGGACTTGAGAAATTAAAAATACATGATTAAAACACTTGTTTTCTGATTCACTTATATGCTTGTAAGGTATAGTTTTAGCTATGTCCCACTAGAAACAAGCTTTCAGTTTCTGTATTCTGTAATGTGACATAAAATGTTTCTACAGTGCAAAGAGTGTAATAGTCACACTTAGGATTGAAAACTTAAAAAGAAATTATCTGAAGGCGGTAAGAAATTTGACCAGGACTAAGTACAAACATCCAAGGTCAGCTATGCATGTGTTAGAACTGGGAGATGTTAAAACGGGGAGATGTGTTGGCTGCTTTTTTCTCATCGATGTGACAAAAATATTAGACAAGGCAACTTAAGGGAGGAAGGGCTTATCCTGGCTGAGGTTTGAAGGACCTGCCCATCACGCAGAAAATCATGGTGGCAGAAGTAGCTTGTCATATGTCTGCAGGCTGCCTATCACGGGGAAAAGCATTGAAGCAGGAGTGCATGGTGGCTGGTCACATGTCTGCAGGGAGGAAGCAGAAAGAGATGAACATGGGTGCTCACTTCCTTCTTTTCCCCCTTATTATCCGATCTGCAACTCCAGTCCACAGAATGGTGCCACACACATTCAGGATAAGTCTTTCCTCCTCAGTAAAAACCTCTGTGGTAATGCTATCACAGTCAGGCTCAGTGGCGTGTCTCCTAGGTGATTCTTGTCAGGGTAACAATGAAGATGAATGACCAGGGTGGTTCCCATCACATCTGATTTGGAGCATTAACTCCAACTGTTGGTCACCACCTACCTTTGGTCTAGCAGAAAAATTTTTATTGTCTGTATGCTATGGCAACAGTGAACTAAAACAGAAAAAAAAAACCAAGAGGAAGGAATAGTTGGTGAATTTGTTCAAATATAGTGTCTGTAATTAGTTATTGTCAGCAGTCTTTTGGAGAAGCCAGCATTAGTATCTGAATTAGAGGGGCAGTCTAACTTACCTGTTGTGTCTGTTGATGTAGGATCCTAGCTGGCTAGGTCTCCCATAGCTTTTAGGATCAAGAAGAAGCCTGTCTCAGATATCTGATTTCTACTCAATCACCAAGCATTCCCCATCAGTTTGAATTTGCCATAGCCATGGGCTTCTGGGCGAGTCTTACTTAACTCCATGACCAGTGACTCACAGCCTCATAGTGGAGGCTGAATCTCTGGGAGCCTGGATAGCAGACAGGACTTCCCACTGTAGGTTGTTTCCAGCCACGGTATAACTTTGCCTTCACTTGTCTCATAGTTTTAATGCTTTGATGCAGTCTACTAACACTTTGAGATACTACTCGGGACAACCATGATCTGGGTGGTATGCAATGAGGGAGCCCAATGCAGAAAGGGGGTGTGCTGAGGGCAGAGAGCAGACAGGGAGGCCCAGGAACCGGGATTCCAGGGACAATGGGATGCTGCCGCCTTCTCCTGCTGCCCTTCCCAGGATCCCTCTCTTTCTAGAAATCATCAGCTGCCACCTTGTAATGCTCACCGCAGCAGTCCCCGTACCTTCTGCCTGCCACCCCCTCACACACTGTAGTTTTTCTGCAACAAGCAGGGCTTCCTATATCAGTACATGCTGTAAAAAGGCTTCCTTCCCTCACTCCTGCCTTGCTTTCTTTCCTTCCTTGTCTTCTTATTTCCCAGTACATTCTAGTTTCCTGTTTCTACACACACTTCCAGCTCGATGTAGGTCACTTACCATACCATATTTAACTATTGATCTGTGTGGGGTTTTTTGTTGTTGTTGTTCTATGTGACATATTCAGATACCAGAAGTTGCAGATATTTGGTCCATTCAGTTACCAAAAATGGCTGGCCTATCATCTAATCTCCCAAACTCGCCCTTATTTACCAAAGTACTCAACCAGCCCAACTTATTTCTGACAGAAAATTATGTATCCTTATCATTTCTCAGTTCATGTGGCTTGCTGTGACACATAGCTCACATGAATTTTAATCCCTCAAATAACAAAGGAAGACATACGTGGAAAGAGATGGGTGGTTCCTGAGTTAGCCTGGCTTGTAGACCAAAGGACACACATCTGCTGTTGGGATTTCTTTCCAGTGTCTGTTTTACTTGAATTCCAAGGGATTTTCCCTTAGGTGCCATGTGTTACCTAATTGCCCTTTCTGTTTGGTACCCAGGAGATGTTTGCAGCACAGAGAAAATGGAGCAGATTGAAAAGCAGGATGGCACACACACACACACACACACACACACACACACACACACACACACACACGACACCTGACGTGTCTGAGGGAAAGGAACCTCCTATCTCTGTGGCAACTGACTTTAATTTTTGCTTTTTTATTTATTTTGATTTTTTTATTTTGAGACTCCCTATGTATCCCCACCCGGCCTCGAACTTGGTATGTAGACCAGGTTGGCTTCAAACTCACAGACATACACCTGCCTCTCTCCTAGGCAATGGGACGAAAGACCTGTGGCCCATGTTCTGCTTCACTAATATTTTTAACTCAGCTTTTGTGAGAGGACCAACTTTAAGGAGTAAAGGCTTCTTTTGGCTCAGGGTTCCTTAGGATCCGTCCATGCCTCTGGTCCTGTGGGGAGACAGAGATGGAAGGGGACTCAGGGATCCACTTGGGTAGATTGGTCATGGTGACTTACTAAGTTAGAGATGTCAAGACCAGATTGAAAGCAGTGCTATTCTGAGGAATTTTCAAGATACATTTTTTTCCTTGAATTATTCGCCATCAAGTTGTATAATCTGACTGAAATTCCATGACCACACTTAAGGCCATGTAAAGACTGACCTCTATTCCCTTTTTAGGTATCTTCATCTATTAGACTTAGGAAGGTCTGATGTGTCTGTGTTGAGAGGCATACTCTTCATTACAGAGAAGTCACCTCCACTCCACCCCACTGTCCCTATCTTTGGGTCGTCTATAATAACTGATTAAATAGAAAAGTAAAGGAGTTGGGCATGGCGGTGCATGCCTTCAGTTGGAGCTATCAGAAGGATGAGGTTGGAGGATCTTTAATTCAAGGCCAGACCTGGTTTCCTATTCCCAAAATCAAAACCAAAACAACAAAAACAAACAATAATTATCAGGGGAAGGAAGGTCAGATCCCTTTTCATATCTGTGTATGTGCGTAGGTGTGTGTCTGTGTTTCTCTGTGTCTCTGTGTGTGCGTCTTTTAAAATTAATTAACATCCCAAGAAGTAAGCTTCATTGTGATATCTTCATACACAAATATCATTCTCTATATACTTTGTTCTTCTTTGGCCCCCCATTGCCCTCACCCATCTGACTTTTCCTGTTACTGACTCCTTCACATGAATATATATTTCATCACCCTCTCTTGCTCCCCCAGACCTCTTTCTTCCCTCTCCTGGTTCCTTTTAACTGTCATATCATCTGTACGTGTAATACACACATTTAAATATAGATTCTGCACATGAGAGAAAACAAGCCATATATTTCTTTCCAGTCTGGCTTATTTTGAATAATATAATGATCTCCAACACTTAGAAAAGACTTACTTTTATTTTGTGTGTATGTGTCTGCATGTATGTGTGCCATGTGCTTGCCTGGTACCGCAAGAGGATGTTGGATCTGCTTGGGACTGAAGTCATGGGTGGTTGTAAGTTCTGGAGACCAAATCCAGGCCCTCTTCAAGTGCATCAAGGACTCTTAACTGCTGAGCCATCTTTCCAGCTCCAGTGATTTCCAGTTGTATCCATTCTCCAGTGTCCATTCCTCTTCACACCGGAATAAAATTCCATTGTGTATGTGCACCACATTTTCTGTATCCATTTATCTGTTGACAGCTGTCTAGGCTGCTTCCCTATCTCAACTGTTGTGAGCAGAACAAACGTGGTTATGCAAGAGTCTATATGGTGTACTGGCTTAGATTTTCCTTTGGGAACATACCCAAGAGTCACAGAGCTGCATCATATTAGGTACTTCCTATTTTAGTTTCGTGAGGGTATTCCACTAGTAGTGTGGACAGGCTCTGCTTACTCTACACAATGCCAAGATTTGTTTTCCTTTGTTGGTCTGATGACAGCCATTCTCACTGGAATGAGATGCAATCCTAAAGTAGTTTTTGAATGTGTGTATGTTTGTATGGATATATGTGTATATATATGAATAAGTAAGTGCATATGAGAGCAAGGTGATACTTATCCTTCACAGCTGGGTTTATTTTTGCAATGTAATGATCTACAGAACTTAAAAAATTAGTGTATGAGTGTTTTGCCTACATGTATATATGGGTATCATTTGCATACAGTGCCTGTGGGGGGCAAAAGAAAGCATCAGAATCCTTAGCACATTGTGTAATCTGCTTGAGGAAGCCAGAGGTCGATGGTGGATGTCTTCTACAATTGCTTTTCTACCTTATTTTTCAAGACAGGGTGTTTCAGTGAACCTGGAGCTCACTGATTATGCTAGGCTGGCTGGCCTGCAAACTCCAGGGACCCTCCATCTCTGCTTCCTAATGTTGACATTTATCCCCACCCAGCTTTTTCCATAGGTGCTGGGGATCCAGACTCCGGTACCCATTCTTGCATGGCAAATCTTTAACAATTGAGCCATCTTCCAGACCTTTAAGGCAATGCTGATATGCATTTCCCCAATGGCTAAGTATGTCCAGCACTTTTTGGAAACCTTTACTTTACTGGCCTGCTGTATTTTCCCCTTATGCTGCCACTCTTATAGTGCTATTCCTTTAAGTGCAATGGAGATTTTGACAAGGCAAAACTGAACCCCTTTCCAGACAGGGACCGTCTTAGCCATTCTGTAGCCACAGGACTGTTACAGCTAGGGTTGGGTGCCAGTCTATCCTCACACAGGAAGGAACTCAAATCAATACACCCCAGCAGCACTTTCCTAGTTGGTGAGCTTATCCTGCATTGATGAGCCTGCTCAAAACCACCTTCTGGTCTCTTTAGTGCATCTTTTCTTTAATCCTTAAACAATTTTCTTTACAGGTAAAGATAAGATTAAAGTGTCTGAAGATGACTTGAAGAAGCTCCCTTTAATTAAGTGGTGTGTTCTGGAAGCTATCCGTTTGAGAGCCCCTGGTGTCATTACTAGAAAAGTAGTGAAGCCAGTTCAAATTCTGGTAAGCTCTGATTTTGTTTAAAAAAGGATGAACCTTCTAGAAAAAGTACATGTTTTGTTCATATTTTCTCTAGATTGATAGATATATTATTGATTTCTTCAAAGTATTAGAACTGGATAGAAATTATATTTATTTGTCAGATAGAGCATGCTTTGAAATGTGTACACATTTTGTAATGGCTGAATCAATTCGTTAGCCTGTATATTATTTCACATCTTGTGTTGATCATTCTTGTGGGAAAATATCTGTGTACTCTATGAGCAGTCAGTAGACTGTAACTATAGTGACTACATGATGTACCATACCTCATTAAGGCACCCCACTGTTTAAATGGAATTTTGTGTTATTTGACCAACATTCCTCAAGTCTCCTACCTCCTAGCCCCCAATATCTACATTTCTAAACACTACTTCTGTGAGCTGAGTTTTTGCTGCTGAGCTTGTCAGGCTCTTGTCCCTCTGTGCCTGGCTTATTTGTCCTCAAGCTTCTTCCATGCTGTTACAGAATTTCCATCTTTTAAAAAGCTGAGTGACAGTTCCTCATGCCCATGTGTATTACACCCTCTTCCTTCATCTGTAGGCTGACACACTGTGATTTCATGTTATGGTCACCGTGAAGCATGCTGCAGTGAGTCTGAAGGGGAAGTTATCTTTTTGACATGTTAATTTCACATCCCGTGGCTGTAAACTCAGCAGCTGGATGGTTTGATCACACACTACTTCTAATGTTAATCTTTTGAGGGATCTTCATATTATTTTTTACATGGCTATACTAATGGGTATTTCTTAAAAACAGTCTCAAATGGTTCCCTTTTTGTCTTTGTCTTCTGACATGTCTACTTTTTTTGGCTAATACAATTCTAACAAGGTTTAGATAGTATCCCATGAGGTTTGGAATCTCATTTCCCTGACAATGATATTGTTTTGGCTTTTTTTTTTCATTAACATGTTGGGTAGTTTGTAGGATTTCTTTAGTAAATATTTTCGTGTGTGTGTGTGTGTGTGTGTGTGTGTGTGTGTGTGTGTGTTTTGCGGGTGGGTGGTTATGTGCATAAGTTCAGTGCCTTGGAAGCCAGAAGAGAGTATTGAACTCCTCCATGCTGGAGTTATGGGCAGTTGCACACTGCTCAGTGTGGGTGCTGGGAACCAAACTGAGGTCCACTGGAAGTATAAGGAGTTTTCCAAACTGCTGAGTCATCTCTCCAGCCAGTACAATGAGTCCTCCAAACTGCTGAGTCATCTCTCCAGCCAGTTCTTGAATCTTCTTTTAAGAAGTGTCTGCTTAGACCTGTGCCTGTCTTGTAGACCACTTTAGTTCTTACTTTGGAGCCGTTTGAGCTGCTTGTGTTGGGACATTAACCTTTAAACAGCTGTGTGCTTCACGCCTATCTCATCCTAACCCACAGGTTGTCTGTCCACTTAGCTGTGTCTTAGCTGTACAGAAGGATTTAGTTCAGAGTAATCCAGTTTCTCTGACTTTACTTTTGTTGTCTGAGCTTTTGGATTCCTCTAATCCTCATTTTCTAAATCAACATCAGGGAAGTTTTCCTCTATGCTTTGTTCTAGTAGTTGTACACTCTCAAGTTTAATCCATTTGAGTTGACTTTTATATACCATATGAAATAAGAACTTAATTTCTTTCATCTGCATATTGATGTCCAGTTATACCAACACCATTTATTAAGAAAACTGGATAGTACCTTTATAAAAAGTCATAAATGTGTGCTTGATCTCAGGGCTCTGGTTTGTGTGTCTGGTTTTGTGCCATTGTGATTACTGTAGATCTGTAGTGCCTTTTACATTATCAGATAACCACCTCCAGCTTTGTTAATTTTGGTTAAGAGTCATTTAGCTATTTGGAGCCTTTCGTGATTCCATGTGAATTTTAACATTTCTTTTTCCAATGGAAAATGTCATTATATTATGATAGTGTATATTATTTATGTGAGTCCCTAAGTTCCCTTGAGTTCTAAGTGACCCTAGAACAATTTGAGACACTAAGTTAAGTGACACCATCTCATTAAGAGAGATTTGTCTTTTGGAAAATATTTTCACTAATATATAACCTTTCAAATAGAAATTTGGCCATGTGATTCTTCATTGGTTATATAATATTGTTTAAGCCAAGCAGGTGGCCTTTTGTCAGCTGACTCGACACTATTTATTTTTAAAACTTTGTTTTTGAGAATTTTTATATGCATATGGTGATTTTCAGCCACATTCACCCCCTCCTCTCAGATCTCTTTCCGTGTCTCCTTCCAAACTTGGTGTCCTCTTTTTTTAGTTAACACCCACTGAATATAGTTGGTGCTGCTCATATAGCATGAATGTAGGGCCTGGCTGACCTACCAGAGGCTACACCTTAAAGAAAGTGGATTCCTCCTCCACTGGAGGCCACTAGCTGTACATAGTTCCTCATCCATGTTGGCTTGAGCCTGTGCAGACATTGAGCAGGAGACCACAGCTGCGCAGGAGCTCCTGAGCGCAACGATGTCCAGAAGACCCGCTATTCTTCCCCAGTCTCTGTCTTATAATCCTCCACTCCCATTTCCTGGCTCTTCCCTGAGCCTTGTAGCCACAAGGAGATGCAGCGTCGACATATAGACATACCATTTCTAGGTGTGCCCATTTCCTGCATTCTGATTCTCAACAAGTATCTTTGTGCAGGAGCAGGGTATGAGTGCCTCTGAAAGACCGGAAGAAGTTTCTAGTCACAGGTGGACAACGGTGAGGAGACAGCAAGAAGGGCATGGGTCAGCTTGGCACAGGGATGACTGTGGAGTGAGGACAGGCTGGGGGAGACTTCCCCAGGTCACCCTGTAGAGTCTGTGCACCTGGCAGACTGCAGTGAAATATTTATGACTCAATCACCACAACCAAAATTTTACAAGAATTATCTGGCCTAAGGGACTTCATGACGCAGCGGGACCACATCGGTTCCCTCCATTCTGCTTTTTACCTTTTTTATATACACAATTTGAGAGTTTGGGGGTTGATTCCAGGGGATTTTTGATAGAACACCAAAGAGATAAAAGTCCCAGTTTGTAGCAGTTGAAACATTTGCACCAGCATGAAGACAAAGTTAGTTTCATTGATCTTACATCAAAAACAGATAGCATTTTGTTTTATTGGAATTTAGATAGTTTTACTTTGAAGTAATCTATTGATTACTTCCGAGTATGAATGTACTCTGAGAGGGGATTATCTGCTTGTTGAAGTGAAGCAGAGAAATGTGTTCCTCTGAATGTCAGGATAACCCTGACTGAGCTCTCACCAATCACTATTCGTATTCTGGTTAAAGAAATAAATCCCAGACTTAGTATAGATCTCTCTGTGTCAGTGGGTTTCCTGATGGCTCTTTCCAGCAAACAGATTTTTAAAGAAATATTTATTCCTAATGTTACATTCATTTTAGACCTTTGTAAATGGTTGTTTGGGGCGTGGTGTGAGAGCGGCGTCTTATTCTGAGGAGAACATGTATGTGCCTCAGGCTGGTCAGGAACTCTGGGTGGCTCCCCAACTCAGCCTCTAAGGTACTAGGGTTATAGTGTGATCTGTTCTGTCTGGCTTATTTATGGTCTTTTGCTGTTGTGTAAAGTTTTAGTTTTCTACAGCCTGAACAAAAGCCATTGCTCTTTGTTTCTATGGTAACGGGGATGGAACCTGGGACCTTGTGCATGCTCAGCAAGCACCACCAAGCTGCATCCCAGCCAACTTGTGTGTAGATTTTGGTGACTTCTTTGATGTAGGCTTTATTTTTATTTTGTTTTCCTACAATCACACTGGCGGACGTTTCCAGCACTCTGTCCACTACTGAAGGTGTCCAACAGTGCTTTGTCCTGGTCTCAAGGGAAAAGCCCTTTCATTTTCACCATTAAGTACCATGCTGGGTATAGAATTTTTATGGATTCTCTTTGTCAAGTTCAAGACATTTTACTTCTATTTTGCTGAGATGTTTTTCTTGCTTTTCTGTGTTGACTGGTAGAACCATATGCTTTTCCATGTGTGTCCTGTTGATATGGGTTACACTTACTAACAATCAAATATTGAATCAGCCTTTTACTTCTCTGATAAATCACTTGATCATAGTGTGTGTGTGTGTGTGTGTGTGTGTGTTTTATGCTCTGTTTATATATATATATATATATAATTGGATGTGCTTTGTTGATGTTTTTAAAATTTTAAAGCATTTTTATTAAAAAGTAAACACAAGAGAAAACAATGACTGCTTAATTAGTAATTAGTTATACTAATTACTAATAATAATGAGGTGTGGTGATCAATCTTTTTGGATATTCATCATGCTACACCCTCCACATATATACATATACATGTACAGGTATATACACATATACCAGTGTGTGTGTGTGTGTGTGTGTGTGTGTGTGTGTGTACCCCTTGCCTGCCTAGTTTGGTTCCCAACACCCAAGCTAAGTGGCTTACAATCGCCTGCAATGTCAGGTCAGGTCAAGAGGATCTGGCACCCTCTTCTGGCCTCTGTAGTCACTAGCACTCATGTACATATACACACAGACACACATAATCAAACTAAAATAAATTTTTTTTTGGTTTTTACAAGACAGGGTTTCTCTGTTTTGGAGGCTGTTGGTCCAGCCTGGCCTCGAACTCACAGAGATCCGCCTGCCTCTGCCTCCCGAGTGCTGGGATTAAAGGCTAAAATAAACATTTAAGAAAATAAAATGTTGACATTTAACTAAGATCTCCTCCCTCTGTATAGTCAAACATGTATGTGCAAGTGATTAGTAAGCAGAATTAGAAATTAATCATCTCCTAATTGGACCATAGAAATGATCTATCCAGGGAAAGGGGGAGTGGTTGCTTGGTTTGTAAAAGGACTTGCCTTGCAAGCATGAAGACCTAAGTTCAGATCCCCAGCATTCACAAGCAAAGGCAGGTGTGGAGGTGAGCACTCTCTATTACAGTTATGGGGAAAAGAGACAGGCAGATCCCAGGGTCTTGCAGGCCAACAAGTGCAGCCAGAACCATTAGGTCCAGGCTCAGCAAGAGACCCTGCACCTACAACATTAGGGCTGGTGAGATGGCTCAGCAGGTAAAGACACTTGCCACCAAGCCTGATGCCTAAATCCAATTCCCACAGTTGTCCTCTGTCTGCTATACATATGCCATCACTCACACACACACACACAGAGAGAGAGAGAGAGAGAGAGAGAGAGAGAGAGAGAGAGAGAGAGAGAGAGAGAGAGAGAGAGAGACCTAGCCAGGAAAGTTAGGTTTTTCTCACAGTTACCATAAAATATCTCTCTTTCACAGTGTAGTTGTAGCTTTGTTTTTAATGTCCCAAACTCTCCTTAAAGCTTATTTCAAAATAAATGATTTGAAGCTGACTTTTCTATTTTAGAGTCATACAGTCCCTTCTGGTGATCTGTTGATGGTGTCTCCATTCTGGCTACACAGAAATCCAAAATATTTTCCCGAACCTGACTCATTCAAACCTGTAAGTGCTCTCTTTCAATATGCATTATTCTTTATGATTTCTGTGTTTTTTTTTTTTTTTTGGTTTACGAGACAGGGTTTCTCTGTAGTGTTTTGGAGGCTGTCGGTCCAGCCTGGCCTTGAACTCACAGAGATCTGCCTGCCTCTGCCTCCCGAGTGCTGGGATTAAAGGTGTGCGCCACCACCGCCCAGCAATTTCTTTGTTTCTTGCCAAGAATATGAATGTGTAAATTAACTGAGCCTGTATCAGCAAGCAGCCATATTTTTCAGGTAACCATGGCCAAACTTAGCTACAGTGGACCAATAGCATTTGCAATGTAGATGCTGCAACATTTACAGATTGCATAGAACGTGGAATGAGCACCCTCAAAGATAAACTTTTACATAAAACTAGGAAGGGTGCTGGAGAGATGGCTCAGAGGTTAAGATCACTGGCTGCTCTTCTAGAGGTCTTGAGTTCTATTCCCCACAACCATCTATAATGAGATCTGGTGCCCTCTTCTGGAATGCAGGCAGAAGGCTGTATACAAAATAAATAAATAAATAAATAAATAAATAAATAAATAAATAAATAAATAAATACAAACAAACAAAAAACTAGGAAGGGACGTGAAAGCCAGTAGCCCCAGTTCTGCTGGAAGGAAGCCTTATTTTGTATTTCTTAGGCAACTGCTTCTGTTACTGGTTTCCAAGGTGCCCACAAAATAAAAACACAGCCAATTGAAATAGTGATGTTACTCCATGTGCTCGGGGAATTGCAGGACTGAGCCATTCTAAGAGGTCGTCTCGTTCATGCCTTGCCTTTAGGGAAGTATGGGAGAACTGGTCCCCAGATGTGTTTATTCCGCATCCCAGGGCCCCTATAGCAAGCAGTTCTGTTGGTGTCTTGCTGCTAAATTTATTATTGTAATTTTGTGATAAAGCCCAAGGCCATATTATAAATAGCCTTCCTCCTCTTGATTTATGCTGTCATTTACATTTGCCACTTAATAGGATTCTTGTTAAGCCTTTTCTGTTTATAAGTTCATGTTCCAAAAACCACAGTTGTGTCTGATATTAATAACAGGTTGGGGGAAAGAATGACCCACAACTCTGCAACTCCTGTATGCAAGGATTAGCTGTACAGCATCCTTTTTAGCCCAGAGATGTTGAGTGAAGCTTATTTATATAAGATTGATTTAGGGAAAAAGTGTTTTCTTCCCACAGGAACGCTGGAAAGAGGCAAATATAGATAAGAATGTTTTCTTGGACTGCTTCATGGCTTTTGGAGGCGGGAAGTTCCAGTGTCCTGGAAGGTCAGTGTGACTGCTGGGCAGCAATAATGCAGAAAGTGCAGAAATGCAGTGGGGGTGGGGAACGACGTACCCCCAGTCCCTTTATGATCCAGCTACAGGGAAGTCTAGGAGGGCACATTTTGTTGGGCCAGTGGAGGGGTGGGGGTGCCTTTGTGGGAATGTCTGTGGTGAGTTTCAATAGGAGACCATGCTACCCTAGCTGGTGCCAGAGGATATTGGCTTTCCACACAGTTCATGGAGGGGCAGTTTCAAGCACTACTTTCCTGTGTGTGCATGTCATTGGAGGGGGCGTGACACACATGTGCAGATGCACGCCTGTATCTGTGGACATAAGAATACAACCTTGGGTGTTGTTCCTCAGGTACTCCCCACATTTTCTTTGTGTCGGGGTCTGTCATTGTCTGCAACTGGCCAAGCAGACTATGCTGGCAGGCCAGGGAGTCCTGGGAATCTGCCAGTGCCCACCTCTTTAGTACTGGGATTAAAGGTGCATGGCTTCATGCCTGAGTACTTGTTTGGTTTCTCTGTGGTGCGCGCGCGCGCGTGCGTGCGTGCGTGCGTGCGTGCGTGCGTGCGTGCGTGCGTGCGTGTGTGTGTGTGTGTGTGTGTTTTACTTTCAGCTCTGGGAATCAAACTTACGTCCTTGTGCTGGCCTTGCTGTTATCTCCCCAGCAAAGTGCCACATTTTGAAGAACAAAAGCATACATTTGCTCAGCTCCAGTATTGCCATAGACGTTTGCTGTGGTTCTGAGACACTGCTGGCCTGGAGGTAGGCAGCAATTGGTAACATCTGGTCGCCTTTGACTTGCAGAGCCTTCCCCTTGGCACCCTTTATAGTTCAATGTCCCTGCACTCAGTGCACTTGGCACCTGTTCTGGCACAAGAGTCCATCACGGAATGGATTATTCATGTTATTTATCCAACCAGAAAAAAATGTGAACATTTCCTTTTGCCAGGGTCAGGCACTGGGGGAAGGCGGACATGGTCTGTGTCTCATGAGAGTCACAGTCTCCATTAAATAAGTCCCATTTCTTCATTGAAGAAGACCCAGGTGGAGAAATGTTGGCACTTATTTGTAATGCTCTCACTCAGAAAATGATTACAAATTCTCTAAAAACGTATATTTAACAAATTCTAATTTCTTAGTTTAAAAAGTCATTCATCATCATTTGAACAGTAATTTCAGGTCATATTTACAATTATTATCCTATAAAGCATCAACTGTATTCCTCTTTTCTGTGTGTTTTAGAGTATCACTATGCTTTCAATAGTTTACATCTCTTCCCAATTTTAATTTAGTCTTACCCAACCATGAAAATCCTAACCTCCTCTTTAGAGCTGACTTCAGAGGCCTGGGTCTAAGTAGATTGTGTTTCCCTGAAGACAGATGTTTGTTTTGCACTAGGTAGCTGACATAAAATGGCCCAATCAAAGCAAGAGGAGACTTTTATTTGCATGATTAGAGAAAAGATGTTTACTTTAGCCCTCACACCCCAGTCAAATATCGTTTTCAGCAACAGCAATGACAAATCGGTGGCAATCTTTATGACAGGTTGGAGCCTCTGGATGAGAGAGCAGAGATATGGAAGGAGCCTGGGTCTGGGTGATAGATATCACTGTGTCACAATGTGGAAGCATTTTGAAGAGCTTGTCTACTTCCTGTTTTATGCAATAATGAATGTACACGGTTTAAAGACAGTTTTAGTTAGAGGTTCCATGCTTAGAACTGGACAAGTGCTCACATAATTCGCTTCACTTACAAGAGCTAAGTAGTGTAAATGCATGCCAGATATTTCACGAGGAAAGTTTATAGAGTCCAATAGCAGAAGCAGCAAACTCATTATCACCAGTTTAGAAAACCAGTTCATTAAAGAGAAAAAGATTTATTTTACTTTTAAAATTATGTCTGTGTGTGTGCCAATATGTGCACATGTGTGTAGGTGCCCACAGAGGCCAGAAGAGGCCATCAGAACATGAAGATCTGATGTCACCAGCACTCATGACCTAGTGGTGTGTATGCTTGAACTTGTGTACTTTGAAAGAGAGCCACTGTTCCAGTCCCAGAAAAGCAGTTCTTAGACCAGTGAGAAGTCTCTCATTTTTGTCACTTAGTAAGTCCTAGCTGTAATTTTTCTGAAAATAGATGTTACTTTTTACAGATCTTTTTACATAAATACTTAATAGCAACTTAAGAGTTTCTTATACGCATCTTCTTTGGCTTTGAGCCTGTTACCAAAGCCAGGACTACAGTATTTACAGGGAAGCATGTAGCATGGGCCAGTGGTGGACAATTTCCTGATGAGTATTATCCCAAAGAGGAACTATTACCACTCTCTCTGGGAGCTTTTAAGGCTGAGAGACATCTCCTTGAATATGAAGGTAATGAATACAATAAAGAAAGCAACGAAACTGTAACTTACTCAGTAGTATCTTATTTGGACAAAATCATCTTTTCAGGTTGTATTGAATTCTTCCTATATACAAGGTTAGTGGCTTGTGTACCTCAGAGGATTTGAATATAAGAAAGCCATAGTCTCACCTGTCATGAGGTGAGCCCTTGTGTTGACAAGGAGGACATTGGATTCATAAATAGCTTCAAGGAATGGAGAATAGCAATGCTGCAAACTTTACTGAAGATTCAAGACAGAGGTTGTTGGGCCCCATGTTGAGGAACCATCTGTCAGGGCCTGCCAACCTGTCCAGTTTATAACTGAGAAGGGGAGTGTGGATTGAGGAAAGACACAGGCTAGAGACAAGAGACAGAGTCAGGAAGGCATCCGGCGAATTCTGGAATCAGCCCCAAGTTTATTAGTCAACATTCTTATATACCCTCAATCAAAAGGGGGGAAGGCAAAAGACTTCCTTACTAAGATACAAAGAAGAAACAAATGTAGTTACCACATTAATTCCCAAAACACCAAGTAATCACACCCTAAACCAAATATCCTGTTGTTAAGGTAAGACATGCAGTAGCCACACTTTAGGCCAAACATATTGTTAACCTTGAAGGAGCAATAACAGGCTCAAACTTTTTGACTTTATATCAAGATGGAATGGAAACACTTCTATGGTCCTCAACAAGTGGTATAACTAATTAAGGGGATCTTGGTGATTTTACAGGAAAAGTGGCCTTTGAAAGGAACAATGTACTTTTAGGTTAAGAAAATAGAATGAACATAAAGGATATCAGCACAGAGGAGTTTGGAGCTTGTGTTTTTACTGCTGTTTGGGCCAGATTGGATCAGGACTGGTTGAGGAGAAAGATTGGCTATGAACATTGGATTGTTGTGCTTGCTAATCTTGGTTGCCAACTTGACACATCTGGGAAGTCCTCAAAGAGGAATTGCCTCCATCAGATTGGCCCATGACTGTCTGTAGGCATTTTTGAGATTGCTGATTCATGTGGGTAGGCCCAATCCACTGTGGGCAGTGCTATACCTAGTCAGGTGGGTCTGGGCTATGTAAGAAAGGTAGCTGAGCAAGACTCTACATACTGAACACAAACGTTGACTATATCTTACCTGTTTTTAAAAATCTCATCAAGTCTAGTTTTCTACTAAGTTTCTGTTTCAAAATATCTGTTTTTTTCCTGTCATTTATTTTAAACAGGCAACTCATGAAACATTTTGTTCAGACAAGCAAATGACTTCATTTGGGCAATGTACAACAAGTGATCTTTCCACTGGGAATTTAATCCTATGAATCCTTAGTATAAACAGCAGCAAATGACACCCATTCCTAATTGATACATCAGGGGCCAACTTATTTTCTCATGCACAAAACACTCAGTGAGTCAAAGTAAGTTTCCTGCAATGAAGCTGACCATCAAAGTCTATCATAAACATACACTGTGGCTGCACAGCTGTTGTTTCTAGAAGTTCGTGCCACTGGGGTTCCATGAGAGTCCCTCTCTCGGGTGAACACAGTTTGGCTGATATAGTTAAGTAAGTACTTGGAGCAGCCACCAGCAACTAACAGACACAGTAGCAGAACTGTAGCACCTCTTAGAAATAGTGGGAGTTCTAAGGGGTTTGCACAGGAATCCCTTTCGAGACACTTTGAGTAGTTGGACTTTCTTTGGACCATAAGCTCCCAAATAATGACCTAGAGACTTATTGCTAAGTATGAAAGCTTGACCTTAGCTTAGACTTGTTCCCAACTAGCTCTTGTAACTTAAATTAACCCATTTATATTGATCTATGTTCACCATGTGGCTTGTTACCTCTCCTCCATACTGTATCTGACTTCCTCTGTGTCTTACTGGCAAATCTCTGCCTCTCAGGTTCTTTCCCAAGTTCCTCTCCCTGGAAGTCCCACCTATCCTCTCCTTCATAGCTATTGGACATTCAGCTCTTTATTAAACCAATCAGAAGGTGCCTTAGGCAGGTGAGGTAAAACAGAGACACATCTTCACAGTGTACAAAAAAGATTACCCCAGAACATTTCCCCCTGTTTATACAAATAAAAGGGAGAGGTTTTAAACTCTAACACGGTAATACTATGTGCAATAAGAAGAATTGTAAGGTAAGAGTTACATTCACAATGTCTAGTCAAAATGTATTTGGCAAATTCAAAGCAAGTAATCTATTATCTATCTAAAGTTGTTGAGTCCAATGTTCTATACCTAAACCATTTTTATAACTAGTATTACCCTCCTAAAAATATCCTTTTAGACCTTAAAATATTTTCTTAGATAAACAGTTTAAGTTTTTTATGTCTCTCAACCTTTATGAAGTTTAGATCTCTTTTATGCATTTCCTTTTTGAATTTGGTAACAACGAAAATGACAAAACTATAACTACCTAATCTTCAACCCCATCAGAAACCTGAGAAGGATAAAGTATTAACCAAGTAAACAGGAAGTGCAGAACAAGCAAATTCCAAAACTATAGAAATGACAGAGACACCTGGCTGCCTAGATGGTCACCCAAGATTCCTCTGCAACATTGTGTTAAACTCCAGGGTAAAATAACAACTCTGGGACTGAAAGAGTTGGCTCA